CCCACTGAAGGTCAGCAGGTGTGAGCCTGGCCAGGACCTGGGAAAAGCTAAGGTTGGAGCTGGAAGAGGTGTTAGTGGGACCAGTAGGGGGTGCTCACCCTGCGGTCTATGACGGGGACACTATACTGTAAAAATAGCACCAACCCTCGGATGAGAAGTAAAAACTGAGGTCCTGACTCTCCGTGGTCATTAAAAATCCCAGGCCAATTCTCAAAAAGAGTAGGGTTGTCAAATGTGTCCTGACCAAATATCCCCCTGGCCTTTACCAGTCATGGCCTCCTAATAATCCCCATCTCTGAACTGGCTCCATCACTCTGTTCTGCTCCCCACTGAGAGCTGGTGTGTGGGGAGCCATCACATCATCCAGGTGGAGGCTGCACACTGGTGGTGGTGGAAGAGAGTCCCCATTACCTGTCAAGAGCTTTGAGTGGAGTGCCCAGAAAAATGCTATGTAGGTGTAAAGGAATTCTTATTCTTAATTCTGTTACAGATGGTCTGAAGTTCATTTCCGAGTTAGAAAAATCCTGTCCAGTAAACACACTGCACGAGCAGGGACATGAAAAACGTGTAATACACATGCCAGGCTGGGACGGATTCTGGTGGGCGGTCTCCCACGCCCGGGAGAGCTCCTGGAATAAAAGCGTACCTGGTTGGAGGTCCGCGTGAAGAAGGGCAAGGGCACAGGGCACTCGGCCGAGCTCGGGCACAGCTCCTCAGACATGTCGGCGAGACTGTCCCGAAACCCGCCCCCTGCGAGGAGAGACTAAGCCTCAGTTCACCTTTCCTTTCTATAGTTCTATAGCTCGAGCCGTTTCTCATTTTTCTGATCCTTGAAAATGACAAGAATATGAGTTTGCCATATGAGCCCTTAGCGCTCAGTTTCATTTGAGTCTGGCGACATGACCCTTAACACAGCAGCGATTCCAGACCCGGGCTCCTTGAGAGACTACAGCTTGGGAGGCCCATTCTCCGACCACTCAGGTTTCTCAACGCCCGGCTACCTTAAACGCTACCTTGAAAGAGCGCGTGTCAAGTCCCCCCTCGAGGGTGTAGCCCAGGTTTCTGCCACCCTTCCCAGGAATAAGCATCAACATTCTGCTTCTGGGTGAATCAAAAAGGGTATCTAGGGATTTTAATCTGACCAGTAAGGAAACCGAAAAACAAATGGGACTGGAGTCTCCAGAGCCAACCTTGGTCAATGATGCCCTCGGAGATGAATTTGCATTCCCACCACTGGTCATACCGGACTGGCCACCTACAGCAGAGACGCACAGTGAGACCGAGCCGCCTCTGGCACGAGGAGGAGTTTCAATCCGGCTCTGAGAACAGGACGTACCTGTAATCCAGCACTTTCTCATACTTATCCGATGGTTTCAGACCCTCATACACCTGAGAAACAAGCACAGAATAAAAGGCTTTTTTTTTTTTTTTAAAAAAAGAAAAGTTCCACAACTCTGTTCCGGACCACAACCTCTAGTGCCAACACACAGGATCATCTTTTCCCCATTTATTGATTTTCCCAATTTCGGCACAGACTCCGCCCGGTCGGTGACCTCCCAGGGGAACCCGTCCAGCGGTCCGAAGCGCGGTGTGCCGATATCACCGGTGGCAGATGAACAGGTTTGCTTGCGTGGGGGGGAGGGATGCCACTCAAACCTCACTTCAGCAGCTCACTTTCCAGAGCTGAGCCAAGCTTTCGATCGAAACATTCGGATAAGGCAGTCGTATGCCCACCAGAACAATCACACGGGAGTCTTCTGAACAGGCGGAGAGGAAGAGCGTTTTAACGTGACTACTGTATGTGTTTCGCATTTCTGCAACGTTCCCCACTGGTTTCCAGTGCTGGCCCACGCCTGCACCGGGGATGGCTCTGCCCGCCCGGCCTACCTGGGTGAAGACGGCGTTTTTGCAGCTGGGGTCCAGGGAGGGGTTGTCACGGTGCTCCATGGCCAGTCTCCTGTTGATGTACAGCCTGGGCATGAAGCTGGGCTTGCTGGTCTCCGAGTGCTTCAGGCACTGGGTGATGAGGGCCGAGCGCCTCTTGGACAGCAGCAGGAACTGCTTGACGTGCTGGGACACAGAACCGGGTCAGAACACCGTCCAGCGCCTGTCGCTAACAGACACTGCCCTGCAGCTGGTGAGCCTGGGAACTTGAAATTGTCGGAGCACCATCCTTCACCCATTCACTTCAGGCATCCATTCATGCCCTAACTGCTTTAGGGTGGTGGGGGAGCCGGCGCCTATCCCAGCAAGCACCGGTCGCAAGGCAAGACAGGAAAGCCAGTCCATCGCAGGGCACACACACAGACACAGACACAGACGGTCACACCAGGGCCAGTTTTCTCAGAAGCCAATTAACCCACTAGTGTGTCTTTGGACTGAGGGAGACAACTGGAGAACACCCACATGAACACGGTGAGAACATACAAACTCCACACAGACAGCACCTCAGGTCCAAAATTGAATCCAGGGCCCCAGCGTTAACCACTGTGCCTCCCTAATTCACTTCAGACTTCGGTCATTAAATTATACAGGATATGACAGCCTGTACAATAGTAATGATTTCAAATACTTGAAATAAGTATTCAAATGGCCGCGTTCAATGCACATCAGTGGTTTCATGTTTGACGTTTGACTGGATTTCTGCTGACGAGTTTGTGAGGGAAGCCAGCTCGTTGACTGAGGAAGCGCTATGCTGCCACTCTGGAATACTGTGCCATAAACGACAAGAAAAGGAATTACTTTGAGATGGTTGAAGGTTCCCAATGTATAATCCCACGCAGGAACAAGATGAGGAAGAAGACTGTCCAACAGAGAGATGAACCTAAAATGAAAGATCATAGTAAACCTCCCAAAAAGTTTTCAACCTATTCACAGTATTCAGTGTACAAATAATTTACTGCATATTATTTTTCTTCCCTGTTGTCTTCAGAATTCGTTTTCAAATGTTAAAATGCTGCTTACGACTGATAATGTCGTGTGTGGCTCTGGACCCCTCGGATTTACGAGACCTACCGATGCCTCATTTTTTCAGTTAACCTCACACGATCACAGAATGAAGTCGCGCTCAGTGTCCCATGGGTGCAGACAGTGAAAAAAGGGGGGGGGGGTGGCCACATATTTGCCTTTAAAAACCCTTAACGTTGAAATGAACTGCTACTGTTTATAAGGAAGTCTCCCTCCGCTGCCATTTCCAAACGCCGGAATCTGACTTCTTACAACTTGGCTTTCGGAACACTGGGAACCACTCTCACAAATGTTTATGAGTGGATGTAATTGGTGTTCTTACATATGACGTCTTGATTTATTAATTCTCTCGGAACGGCATCTTTTCTCATTCCTAGACTTTGCTGTTATTTCTGAACCTCTCCCCCCCCGCCGCCATAAGTGCAACAGCGTCCGTTTTGTCTCTGACGGCTCCTCTGCTCTCCGCGGGATGCCGCCCCCCTGATCTGGGGGGTTTCGGCGCGACCCAGCCGCCAGCCACGTGCCCACCAGGGGGCGCCCCGCTCCTCCGCACCTCTGAATGACGATGGCTCTTCGGTACAGCACGTCAGGGGGCGTGCCTTCCAGCCGGGGGTATCGCACCAGGTTGGGGGACTGGAACATATCGGCGTTGAGGCCCAAGTCCCTCTCCCGGGACGACTTGATCTTCAGCCCTCTGATCCGCACATCAATCCCTTCATCTGGAGCACACAATTCAACCATGGGGACGTATATTGACTGCCAGCTACGTACAATACTTCCAGCACTTTACAACGGAACACAACTGGCAAACCATCGTAGGAAAGCAGCATCAGAGACTGATCCCAGGCACAGCGTGCAAGAACAGATGCTCTGCATCTCTTTCCATGCATCACGTTGGCCAATGTCACGTCTTGGACACAGATCTATTTTGTTCCTTTGTTGTGCTGCGGTATCTCACCTCTGCACTCCACAATCCGAATCTCAATCACGGGCAGGTGCGAGCTCATGTCTTCCAGCACACACACGTCTCCAATCAGGTTCCTGAGAAAAATAAAAGAACAGGACCGAATCTGTAAGACAAAGCCGAATGTTGCAAAAACAAATAAAACGTCTCGTTTCTTCTCATGATCAATGTTTGGAACAAATACATTCCGATAGCCTGAGGACGAAAACTTCACTGTGTTCTCTTACTTAAACTGACACCTTTGCACCACATCATACAGATAGCTACCACTTGTCAGTGTAGTCAGCACTGTTACCTACTCATCGATATTAACATCACTGAGTTTCTTGAGGTTATCTCCCTCTCCTCCAAATACGGTGATCCTCTTGGGCATGTAGTTGTCATCCGTCGAATCAACTGTCAAAATAAGCTTTCTAAGAAAAAAAAACAATAAATAGAATTAACTCAGAGTGCACTCTAGACACTGTATGACAGTGAACAGGACTGAAGAGTGAAAGAAAATTCCTTAGCATTGCATAATTACTTGCGTTTTCATAGGATTCAATTTTTTTTTATGTGAAATAAGTGCTGTCACGTTTTATACATAGTCTTTTTTGTCATCCTTAAATAAGCCTGGTACACTGCGGTACTCACTGAGGAAGAAAGACGTCTTAAAACCTGACGTTCCAGGTGTGCTGCTGCAAGCAAGCAGGTCCTGCATAAAGACCTCAGCGTGTTCCCTCTCTGAGCTTCGAGACACATTTGCAAAGTAAGTTTCTTTTTTTTGGGCAAGACTCAGCCAATAAAATGGACACAAAACAGGCGTGATAAGAAACCAAACTTTAAGTAATGTTAGCAGATCTTACATCTTTTTCCTGCAGTTTCTGAAAGGTAAAGCAGGTATTGGTGCTTGGGGAGTTAAAATGTAGTTCAAATTAGAAGTGCAAAGGACAGCATTGTGTGCTTTTGGGGGACTAACATGCTCATCTGCTGGAGTTCCCTCCCCTCACTGTTTTAGATCATCAGGTCGGACTCTGAAACCGGGCAGGCACTGGCCAGCACGCCCCCAAACCTCTCCACCCCCTCCGAGCAGCAAGCTTGGAAAAGCAGGCTCTTCAGGGGTGGTTTTCTGTTGTTGGTGTTGCATCAGATAACAGCTGTACGTTCGATCTTAATGTCTTGCTGGTTGGTCTATAGTCCTGGTGTTGGCAATAAAGGACCAGAGTTCCCCCCCGGGGAGGGGAGTCTTACTTCACCACTGTGCCCTTCTTCATGTGCAGGCGAATCCAGTGCTGGCCCTGCAGTCCATCGCTCTCCCAGTACGTCTCAGCGTCCCCATCGGTCAGGCACTCCACACTCCCCGTGGGGTCCTCCTGCACACGCCAGACATGGTCAGAGGCGGGGGGGGGGCTCTCCCTTCGGGCCCGAGTCCCATTTGCTTGCTCGCGCCCCCGGCAATCAGAACCCCTCCCTTCGGCAGCGGGCGCGTGGGACCAGCTGCCTTTGCAACGCGCCGATGTTCCCCTGCGCCGCGCGCGGCGTACCCGTATGGAGTTGGAGGACACGTCGATGCTCTCCACGCTCTGCTTCACGCTGCCCAGGTTCTCGTCCTCCTTGCCGACGTGGTCATAGAAATAGTGGACCAGGTCCTCATCGCACTCGAACGTCCAGGTGGGGGGCACGTACCTGTGGCGGGACAGGGGGGGGTGTGTGGGGAGAAGAGAGCGCTTTGAGGTTCGCTCTCGTTCTGAACCACCCGAGCGGAACCTCCGGGGGAATTCTCCCATAATAATAATAATAATGTTTCTTTATTAGCAATACAATACAATTTCTTGCATTAGGAATGCGTCTTTTCGCATACCCCAGCTTTTCTCCATGGAGACACAGACACAGAGACAGGGAGAGAAGCTTGGGGTCAGAGCGCAGGGTCTGCCATTGTACGGCGCCCCTGGAGCAGTTGGGGTCAAGGGCCTTGCTCAGGGGCCCAACGGAGTAGGATTCCTCTGCCGGCCGGGGGATTTGAACCGGCAACCTTCCGGTCACAGGCGCAGATCCTTAGCCACAGAGCCACCGCTCCGCCCCAACCATCACCCCCCCGCTCACCTGAGCTTCTGCACGCCGGCCGGGTCCTGCTCTGCAATCCGGGGTCTGATGCCCAGGTGAAGGCTGTACTCGGCGTCCACCACCTGCTCCCACCTGCGCAAACCACAGCCGGCCCACGGGTCAGTCCACCCGCCTCTGCCTTTTATCATTCAGAAACACAACTCTCCCACATCCGGGACAGCAGCGCGCGGCTGCCCTCGGGGAAACCGGGAGATAATAACAATCCTCTTATATAGCGCCTTTCTGGACACTCCCCTCAGAGCGCCTTACAGGTAATGGGGACTCTCCTCCACCAGGGTGCAGCCCCACCTGGATGATGTGACGGCAGCCAGAGTGTGCCAGTACACTCCTCACACATCAACTATGACTGGGGAGGAGAACAGAGTGACGAAGCCAGGTCAGAGATGGGGATTATTAGGAGGCCATGATTGGTAAGGGCCAGGGGGGAAATTTGGCCTGGACACCAGGGTAACATCCTTACTTTTCTCGAGCAATGCCCTGGGATTTTTTATGACCATGAAGAGTCAGGACCCCATCTCATCAGTGGCACATTTTTTACAGTATATTGTCCCCATCACTCTACGTAGGCATTAGGACCCACACAGACCGCAGGGTGAGCGCTCCCTGCTGGCCCCACTAACACCTCTTCCAACTGCAACCTGTTCTTTCCCAGGAGGTCTCCCATCCAGGTACTGACCAGGCTCACACCTGCTGAGCTCCAGTGGGCTGCCAGCTGGGAGCTGGCAGGGTTAGAAAGAGTGCCAAACTGACTCCCTGAAAGACAAACATTAGCTATGGGCCTCACAGTACAGAACCCATCAGGTCCTGGAAACAGCAGTGAGCTCTAAGTGTCGTATGCTTTATTACAACTGGTGCATAGGCACCAAGAAAGGCTGCAGGTGATTTTCAAAAAACGATCGCCTCTTTTGATTGGGAAACGTGATCCTCCGCGGGCACACACAACAGCAGTACTGGTCCCCCCCTGCAGCGCGCGGGTCCTCTCGGCCTCTCAGACCTGGTGCAGGGCTTGTAGTCGTATCCGAAGAGCTGCTGCTGCCTGCAGACCGTCTCGGGGGACTCGACTGGCACCAGTCTGTCGCCGCCCTCGGTGTGCTTGCACACCAGGAGCCAGCCCTCCTCCACGTCCAGCCCGGGCCTGTGCTCCTCCAGCTGCTCCTGCACACGGAGAGAGCAAGGCACTGAGCGCACAGCGGAAACCCCACCAGAGACCCCCCCCAGGCAGAGGTACTGAAAGCCAACTTGCTGGAGTGGATGTTGTAAAACAAAGTGGTCCTTTCCCTGAGCACATCTGTCTTACCTGCTCAGGGGACACAGCTGGTCCTCCATGCTGAAGAGCTGCCTTGCTTCAGACAGCAAGAGCACAAACCAGCCTTCTTTCGAATCACACCCACCCGAAAGAAATACGCGGCATTAGACGACTTGAAACAGTCTGAACGGCTGCCTTGAAACCCCACCAACAATTGTGCGATCACCTCCAGTGTGTAGTTGGAAATGAGTCAGTCATGAGATGGACAATGCTGTTGTAATTGTAAACATCCTCCCAACACTTTGAGAAAGTCCCTGAAGCACAGAACTTCTTAAAAATACGTTCTTTCCGGCATAAGATTTTTTTTTTTTATTGCATTAAGCCCAAATGGAGAAGGATCCTCTATCTGGTCGGTTTTTATCTCCCTCTCTCAATAAAGGTCCTAAAACCCTGGGGAGTGTGAGCTTCAGATTAATCAACACTGTGAACGTTACAGCATATCGACGGCGTCAGCAAAGGCAGGAAAGAGAATTTTGACGTGATACCGCGTGTGCGGCGTGACGTCGCCCAACGCGGAAGTAGAAAAAAATGTTTTTCTCTCCCCCGGTCTTAAAAGTAGTCCAATTAAGAGTTACCTTGTTTAATTTGACCCACAGGCCGTAGCTGTTGCAGTACTCTTCCCCGGTCGTCCTGATGCAGGTGCCCTTCTTCGGCTCGATGTTGAACTTGAACAGCTTCTTGCTCTGCGGAGCCTGGGACGGGCTCTCCCACACCGACACCAGGCTCTTGCCGGCCGAGGAGCTGCAGGAGGAGGCGCCGGCCGGGGCGTTCGCGCCGCTGGACGAGTCCTTGCAGATCTTGTAGCAGACTTCCTTGGGGACGAAGCACAGGCTGGCCGGCAGCGGCTTGCTGTTTCGGAAACAGTCGATGCACTCGACTAGGAAGCGGATCCTTCCCAGGAGGACGTGGGAGTTTTCGCCCGGTGACATGTCTTCAGCCGCTACCGCGATGGATCCGCAGAGCCGCGCAGCCCGTCACCTACAGCTGACAGACTTTTGGTGGTTGATGTTGTTACGTTTCCCTCCCCCCTCCCAACTCGCCAAGCAAGCTTCCGCGTTTACTTCAAAACACCTGAAAATAAACACACGATTTTTCAAACTAAGAACATTTTCCCGGTGCGTGTGTATCTTTCGTGTGGCTGAAGCAGATCAGGGACCTTTGTAAACGACCCACCCCTCAGAATTGTTTTTTTCAGTTTCCTTCTATGCCGCCCGACACCCTCATTTACTAAGTATCTGCCCCTCAGAGCAAAGGTAAACCCACCAACGAGAGTACCGCTGTGCCGTATTTGCAGATAAAACCTGACAGTGAAGAATAGAAAAAATCAGTGACACATGTGCAACCTTTCTCCATTTTTGTGAGGATTTAGGCAGGTTTCCTTGAGTATTTAAGCTTGTATGTAAGCTTTCATTTGGTGTGCAAGTTTGCTTTCTCGTTTTTTTTTTTAAATTTAGGTTAGTTACATGTCTTTAAAAGTCTGTGGAGATATCCCCCCCTTTGCGGCACTTTTTAACGTGTCCTTGTACTTCAATGTTTAAGGCAGGCTGGCTGTCAGCCTGGGTCCTTCAGGCACCTCTGCGGCCTACTCAATGAGGGCCTTTCTCGGGCTGTCATATGATCCTCCAAAGATGGCCGCGCCCATGTAGCTGCGGTGGGCGTGACTGTGGTGCGGCTTGATTCTTAGAAGACTGTGCTGGGGAGATCTCCAGCAGTCGGGACGTTAAGTTTGGATCGTGTTTGACCAGACTTGTTGACTTCGCAATGGACGTGGACAGTCATACACTGTATGTATTAGCCTGACATCAGTCAGATGGCCATTTCTGAATGTTCTTTTAACCTGTTAAGTAATCAGGAGATTTGTGGCTGGCGCGTGATGAAAATTAATGGAGCATATCTGTGTGTCAAAAGTTAGATTAACATTTTCAAAGACACTGTATCTTGACTTCTTGTCACGTAATGGTAAAATACGATGTAATGTGATTTTTGGTTTAAACGAGTATTTCCTGCACTATGTACAGTTTTAATGTGCCCGTGATGACATCAGTACTTTATTTAATGGGGAAGTTCAAGTTCTTGTTGCTCGTGCTTGCTGAATGTAGGGGAACTAAACACTAAACACTAAACTGCTTTCGTTTTGTAAGATATTCCACTGTTAAAGGGAATACTAGTATTCGTTGTGGTGTATTAACCTAACGTTAGAAATAACGTTCTGTAAGTGGGATTAAATATCAGTACTAGGTCTTGTGGTTGGATTTTTGTAATCACGCGGTTAAACTGGTTACGAATGTTTTCGAAGGGGAAGTAAGTTACTGAATAGGTGGTAATTTAAATATCGTGTATACTTTTCTTATTCCATTTGTATTAATCCCACGTTTCTTTCTCCAGCAAAATATTAAGAGTTTGACAAGGATTATAAATAAGTTTAAGAAATGGCCAAAATTTTAGGTAATGAAAGATGTGATATTTTAGATTCACGAGGGAACTGGTTTTACTGGAAGTTTCAAAAATATGTTCAGAGCCTTTAAGAGACTAGTGTGCAAGTATTACTTGGTCCTTGGTTTTGTTATTAATATCTTTAGGCAGAGGGTTGTTGTAAGGGAATTTTTGTTTTAACTGAGTTGTTGTATTAAATCGGAATATAGGGAAAAAAGTTTGAAGCCACATCTCTGTTTGTTGAGATACATCTCTGCTCTTTTTGACTACACAGCCAGATCTGCACGCCAAAGTGAGAGCTTTTCTCATTGAGAGAACAGGGCGGTTATTCAGCTGATTGGAGCTGATCAGGAAACCCTTTATCACGGAGGATCATCTGCTGTTCTCTATCCACTCCAAGGGCTGCATGCCAAGATAGTGGCTGGGGAGTGAGGAGCAGGCAGTCAAGATAAAGAAACCACATGAACTCGTGGAGTTCGCTGTGACAGCAGTGTCTTTTATTATGTCATAGTAACAATTGAATGTACTGGTCTCGGAGAAGCACTTAAAATGGAAATTAGTGGTAAAAGCACTATACAGGGGCTTGTATTAGAGAAATACTGTACATCAGTCCACAGGCATCGGATTGGAAAAACAGGCGATACAGAAGAGGGGGCAATCTAAAGGAATTTAACAAAGTGGTTGTATAAAAGTTAATCAGAATCAAGATGAGAGGGGGCACGATTGACTATAGGTATAGAGTTACAGAATATAATCAACACTGTCTTAGTGCTTTTTACTCAACATTTCCCTGCTGGAAGACATTTGATAGCCCTGATGAGCACTGACCCTTTCTGGTGTTTCAGCCCTAAGGACTTCCCTGAGCTGAAGAATGACACTTTCCTGCGTGCGGCCCGCGGGGAGGAGACCCAGTACGTGCCCGTGTGGTGTATGAGACAGGCAGGCCGCTACCTGCCAGGTGAGACCACAGC